GAGAGTTTTGCTCTCTTCTTCATCTCCTTGGGTAGACTGGTCTTGGCAGTGAGAATGATTTAGCTAACGTCCCTCAGGATTCAGGGATGGACTACGTGGCTTCTCAAGGTCCCCCTGAATCCTTCTTGTCCTGATAGGCAAAGAATGTCCAAGGTGGGTATGAGCCATAGCGCTTAACATGCTTTTTCCTTTCCTTCTCTTTCCTCCTTCCTTCTCCAAGTCCTGTGATCTTGCTCAGGCTGGGAATTGCATCCTCAAAAAATGTTCTCTGAGCCATGTAAATAAATACTACTATTGCTGTATTTTTATGTTCTCACAACATTTACAAGGTAGAAGCATTGGACTTTTTTTCTTAAGGTTCTCCAATATCGACCCCTAGTCCATCTCCGCTACCTCGTACCCCAACCTCCACTCCGGTGCACATGAAGCAAGGCTCTGCTAGTTCAGTCATTAATAATCCGTATATTATTGTGGACAAGCCTGGACAGATGGTTGGAGCAGCAGCCACAAGCACAGGTGTGTAGTGTGATCACAGAAGGCAGCGGCTCAGTCTTTCCCGTTCAAGTTTATTCTCCCTTTAAAATAAGTATAATAACAGTATTTCAGCTTGTGAAGGTGAAAGAGTGCTTGGCAAAGAAAGAGGGAGATATTGTTGGTTTGCACAATGGACCGATATAACATGGTTACGGGTATCTCAGACTCTAACATAACTTCCTTTAGGAAACAGCACATAGTGTAATGCCAGATTGAATTCACAGATACCTCTTCAAGGAGAGCCCGTTCTTTGCAGGCAGAGGTGGTTGGGTGAGAACTGTACTGTGGATGTGGGCAAAAAGCACAGAGAGCTTGCAGTGACTTGCAAATCAGTCTTAGGTCCCAGTGTACGGTGCTCTAGATGTATGGAAATGCATAGACCCAGGTTCCCAAAACAGCCATGCTGTTTTTTGTTACTGCTCTCAACTTCTAGCTGGTCTGATTCCAGCCAGTTTGGATTCCTCTAACTGGATTCCCTCAGTGCTTCAGTGCTGGCATAAGCCTGGGGTCAGGGGGGAAGACTGAACTGCAGGAAATGGTGATGGGTATGGGAGTCAATTGGTAATCTTTGTGTCAGGGCTGGAGGAAATGTCACTCAAAAGTCATTTATTTGTTGTGATTTGTGGCCAAGAATTATGTAAAACACACTTGTTTGTGTAGGTGGGTGCTTGCCAGCATCTCAAAAGGATGCTCAGAGCCACGTGGTGAAGTGCAGCATCCATGTAACACACAAACTGTTTGCTGGGCATGGTTGGAAATTGCAAAAAATTATTCTCTCAGTAACAATTCCTGCTTTTATCTGAGGGAACACAGCTGTCGTGTTCATTTTAACTTCATCACAGAGGGAATTGGTAGGGGAAGCATAGTCATAGCTGAATTTTTTAAAGTATGTTTTGGGGCTGTCTTAGTAACACTGAAGCTGTTTCACCAGTGGGGGTTTTGTTTGGCTGGTTGGTTGGGAATTTTCTGCCTGTTTTTCTTTTCTGTTTCTTCTTTACCTCCAGCCTGACTGTCTACTCTGCGTATGTGGTTTGTTGTGGTTTGGGTAACTTTTGTGTTCTCCTAATAGAGATTTGTACATGGAGGATAGGATCTGTAGATGCACCAGGTGGTTTGGACATACAAGCCTTAACGCCGTTAAAGGTGCGGTTTCCCACCATGTTAGTGTGATGTAAGTACAGAGTGGCCTGGAAGAAACTGCCCCCTGCCTCTCCCTCCCCTGCACTGCTGCCACTTCCCTCGTATCGTGCACGAGTCGGATCGGATCAGTGGCAGACCAGAAAATTAATACCCTCATCTCCCCAAATTGAGCTTTGTTGTCAGATAGCCTGATCGCCAGGCTCTGTATGAGGGAGCGAGAGGGAACGTGGAACTGGCTTTTTGCCAGCAGCAGCCAGGCTGGATTGAGTAATGTGATCCTACAGACGAAGTCACTGGGATGTTGTTGACAAGACTGCAGATCATATTTTAAAAGAGGGGTGAGATCTTTATGTTCTGTGAACGCCAGCCTTCCCAAAGACCGTTATTTTGAGAAATGACTGTTCGTTTACTTTTAAATTTAAGTGCAGATTGTAGTACAACTGTATGAGAGACTATTACTGTGTTTCATGTGTATAGCCCATGGCTTTGGTGTCTCTTGAACAAATTAAACTAACAAACCAAACCAACAGCAGTAACAGAACTGCTGCTGAGCAACAGTGTGTTGTGTACACACATTGATAACGCGGGGTAAGTTTACCACAGAACCCCCATCCCTCTGGGGCGGTCAGGAGACTGCTGTGGCACACTCATCTGTACGTTAATTTTGTGAGAACAGTCTTCCACAGGCAGAGGACCCTACGTCTTCATTCCTTAATTCTGTTTCTTCCTTTACCCTACTCACTCTGTCCCTTCCTCTTTTTACTCCTCACTTTATCTTCCTCCTTTTGTGGCTTTCCTTTTCCTTCCCACTCCAGCCTCCTCCAGTCCTCCCCCATGCCAGTGTCTGAGGCTAGTGTAGATCCAGAGGGCATCTGGGCAGTGCGGGATACTACATCTGCAGCAGCAGGTTCTGACTGGCAGCTCATTTACTGTCCTAATTTCACGTATTTGCACCTCTAGCCAATGTTGTCAGCCACTAAGGAAGGTGCCTGATCATTTGCTTGCAGGAAATGGAGTTCTGGGTGGAGAGTGCTTTCTCTGGGGCATGGATTCTGCAGGTGGAAGTTCAGTAGTGGATTTGTTTTGTGCCCGTGCCTTCTCCCACTGATGTACCTCATGGAGAATACAGAGTCAAAATGAAATGCCGTGTTTCTTATTAGAAGAGGTTTCATGTGTTCAGTGGCACTGCTCCTCAGCCCTCACCCAGCATCTGCTTTATTTCCCAATACCCAGGGAGCCCAACCAGCAAGCTGACCAGTGTTTGTCAGGCCTCTCACGGAACTGGATCTCCTGTATCAAAGACTCATGGGAGCAGTTTTGTCACCTCAGCTGTCAAGGTAATGTTCTCATTAGGTGCATACTTTCCATTTAAAATCCAGCTTCCTGTTAAGTAAGGCTTTTTAGTATTATAAATTCTGCATTTGGAGCAAGTTCTTTTGGTTGTCATTTCATGTGAAGGTTTACTGTGTCTAACAGATGGAACCATATGAGCGCAGGGTGGTTATACAAGATGATGGTGTCGCTTCATGTAGCTCTAATTAGACTCGCCTACACCTCTGTTAAAGGCACTGCTCTTTTGCTTGCCTACAAGGAAAGGGCATAGCTCTCAAAATGTCTTGTCTTTCAAAAAAGCTTTTCTGTAGCTGACTTTGATCATCTTCACTTTGTTAGCAACAGTATGTGATTAAACCAGAGATGCCTACCTCAAAACCTTCACTCTGTTTGTTATTTTTGTACAGCAGCTGCTTCTAGCAGCCTGAAAATAGCTCATTTAGTGGCTTTACAACTGCCTGCGTTTAGAAAAATGTTTGTGTAAACAGTGGAGTAACCAAATGTGTAAACAAACAGCAATGAATAGGTTTTATGCTTCTGATCTGCAAAACCTGAAAGGTATGGAGCTGAACTGTCTCACATAAAATCTCTCCCACAGCTTGTGCTAGGAAGGATATTTCTGGCGGGGAAGTGGTGTCAGTGAGGCTCTTTCTGAAAGCAGCTGGTGGGTGTGCTGCTGAAAACAGAACCATTTCCCTGTCTCCAAGTCACAAGAATATTAATTCTGGATATGGGGGGCGGGGGGAGTAGGTTTGTCAGTCAGCCTGCAGAGAGCAAATCACTTTACATTTGGAACTGAAATGCTTCCTTTGTCTGTTAGGGAAAAAATGTTGAAGATTACTGTCTGAAGCAATTAATTTGGAGTAGCATTTTAAGTGTCAGGTGTGCAGCTAGCTATTCAGCTTTTAAGAACCTCTCTCAGCTCAGATGGATTTCACTTAACAATGTTGAAAACCACTCATTAGTGTTTATTTTTCACTGATTTTGGAACAGTTCTTTCTGAGAGGTTTTCAATGACTCAAAGTAAGCACACGTCATTAGTAACAGTTCAGTTCTGTATTTCCAGGGCAAAGATAAAAACTGACGATATTTTTCAAAAATACATAAAAATCATAGTTCTGTAAACAGAACTGTATTTTGATTTATATCTCTATGTCTTCTGGTGGGTGGAAAAGCTTTAATTTTATGGTTTCTTTAAAGAGGAGGGTGTGTCTGATAGTTCAGTCTGATGTTATAGATTGTGCTTAACTCCCCACTTTTCATCTCTTCACTATGTGTTAGTTTTCTCTGTATTTTCTTTAGTGACTTAAGTCTGTGTTTCTTCAGCCACTTTAAAATGCCAGATATGCAGGCTGCTGTTGAGAGGACTGGTTGTGCCCCTAGCCTTGTCTTTATGCCTCACCCTGTTCACTAACAGTTGTGCAGCAGTGTGATGAACCAGAGCAGAGAACCAATCTGGTTGAAAACTAATCTGTTTTCAGCCATATGTGTCAGTACAAGGAAGGTGGCAGGAGTATTAGGTCAGAGTCTGAGGGCTTGCATTTTGGTCATGATCCAATCCAAGGATGGGCCAAGTGATCGTGAAACCATGGCTTTGGAGTTCACATTGATTGTAAAAGAATACAATTATTTTTCTTAAAGCATAATCATAACAAATGCCTCAGATGCATTTGACTTCTCTACCAGCCTCAGATCCAGGAGTGCCAGGTGCCTGATTCTGCAGGTGTGGAAATATTTTTTACTCCATTTAGTTACGTGGCCTCAATGTTTCTGCCAAGTGATGAGTTCTGCCTGGAAAGACTGTGTGCCATCATGTCTTTCTAGTTACAGGTGAAGAAAAATTAATCTGGGATAATTTTGCTTGCAGTTTTACATTGAACATTATTTTTTCCCCCTGCTGTGACTTCTTTCCTCTTAGATTTTCTTCTCTAAGATTGTGTGTAGAATCACAGAATAGTGGAGGTTGGCAGGGACCTCTAGAGATCATCTGGTCCAGTGCCCCTGCTCAAAGCAGGGTCAGCTAGAGCAGGTTGCTCAGGAATGTGTCCAGTCAGATTTTGAGTGTTTCCAAGGCTGGAGAGTCTGCAGTCTCTCTGGGTAGTCTGTTCCAGTGTTAAATCAGCACTAAATTAAAAAAAAAATATTCTTATACAGAATTTCCTGTGTTTCAGTTTGTGCCCATTGACTCTTGTCCTTTCATTGGATACTACTGAGTATTGTCTGCCTTGATCTTCTTTCCACCTTCCCATCCAGTATTTATACACACTGATAAGATCCTCCCTCAGCCTACTTGAATTTTACAGCTCTGAAATGCTTTGCATGAAAAGCTAGTCAGGGAGCATGAGTCAGTTTCTTTCACTTGTGTATGATATGGTAAGAAACAGTTACTGCTGTTGAAGATGTAACTTTTCAAAGAAAATTTGCTTTGTAGATTGGTTGTATGAAGTATGTTACACTCCTTTTATTTAAGTATTGACTGACTTTGGAAATGGCTTATTTGTACAGGTATTTTGGGACTGTCCACATGGTCCATGCTACCCTTTATTAGCAGTCACTTGTTTTATATCTTATATTGGACATGTCACTGATTTTTGCACAATGTCTTCCTATTCACAGCAGGAGGATTCTTTGTTTGCCACCATGCCACCCCTTTGTCCCATTGGGAGTCATTCCAAGGTGCAAAGCCCCAAATCAGTCACTGGAGGACTTGGAGCTTTTACAAAGGTATTCCTCTTAGCTTCTGTGCCGGGACAAGGAGCTCAGTAGTGTCATTTCATGCTGTGCTACAAGCCATGTAGCTTCCAGTGCGTGTAAACTATTACTGGAACCAATGTGTCTTGCTGACAAGGGCTCTCTAGCACCTCTCAAAAAATGTATCTTCTTTTCTTTTCTTTTCTTTTCTTTTCTTTTCTTTTCTTTTCTTTTCTTTTCTTTTTCTGTGGCTCTGCTGTTCTTGTGATCTTTCTTTTTATCTTCTCTTTAAGCCTTTCTTGTTTTTCTTTGAATCACTGTCATATTAAGGCTGGTATTTTTAAAGCTATTTCTGGTGGGATACAGTAAAAGTAAACTGGGGTAGATTTGTCAGGATTTTCTTTAAAAATGCTATAGTGATCTCTGAATGTCAGATGTTGCAGCTCATGAGTACATTTCCTTAAATGTTACCATGCAGAATTGAAAGTTGTTCCTGGCAATATTAGGTGATCCAAATAAAAGGTAGAAGAACACTTCCTACCAGTTACAGTACCTACAGCAATCTAATGCAAAAAAACCCCAGCCTTTCCTGAGATGCTGATCTTAGGGATTATATTTAGGGCCTGTCCCAAAGAAACATAAAACATATGCACAAGAGAATAATATCAGCTATAATAATCTACAATACCTATAGCAATAATATTGCTTGTAATTCTGCAGGATAGGAAAGTGTTGAAGTTTAGAACGTGTTCTCGGCCTAGAAATTGGAAATCTTAAAGTGTTCTGGCTCCTTTCTGAGATTCAGATCCTGAAGAACTCAGATCTGGCCAAGTCCATCATTAGTATGACTAGTAGTTGTAATATTACTAGCGATTTCTGTGATTTCTATGAGCACCTCTCAAATTTGGAATGCTTTGTAAATACAGTCACCCCCTCACATGCTTGTGTGTCTGGAGTAGCCCTCATCTTGGAGCTGAGTTAGAGAGTCCACCTGGTGGCAAGAACCACCTCTGAGTTTACTGACTGTTGCCTGCCCTTGCCTGCAGACAGGCTGTTTCAGAAATCATCCCCAGTGATTTATAGTTGTTTGCTTTTCTTATTATTTATTATTTCTTTCTATTAAAAAGGTGATAATAAAGCAGGAGCCGGGAGAGCTGCCCCAGCAGCCCCAACTACCAGCGGCAGGGACGACCACGCAGACCTCTGTGCAGCAGTATGTCACTGTAAAAGGGAGCCACATGTTAGCCTTGTCACCGCAGAAGCCAGTTGTGAGCACAGGCGAGGGCACGGTGCAGTCTAAGGTATGAGGCACTTGGGCATCTTTGGTGTGGTGTAAGCTGTTTTTCTTGTGGTTTTATTGCAACATTTCATGCTTCTTTCAGGGGCATAGGGTTGCTTTGGTCAGACCCAGACAGCATCGCCGTGGTTTGCTGGCTTCCCCATGTGCACAGAGTAGCTCACATCATGCTTATCTGTAGCCCTTGAGAAGGGAGCAGGGTCAGCAGGCGCTATTGCATTTCATTGTGTGCAGGGAACATCTCCTACTTCTGTCTAACCCATTGCAACAGTGGAGTGGGGGTGTTTTTGAACTGGAGCCTGTCAACACAGAGAGTTGGCTGCCATCATCAGCTCTTGCTGAAACTCATCCAGGTCTTCCTATAAGAGGAGGCAAATTGTTTCCTTGGACTGCAGGCCTGCAACAAAAAAGAACAGGACAAATGGGGAGTGTGGTGGAGACTGGGCCAGAACTAGCATTAGGTGGAAGCAGTCCTGCCTGAGTGGCAACTCAAGTGTTTTATTGTAGGAGTCTGTGCCAATGCAAGTGCTGTATGATGGGAGTGACGCAGCTTCTGAGAAGGCACGGTAACTGTGCAGTGACAGGATGACAGACTTGTCAGAAATTGTCTCCGTTCTTTCCTGTTTCCGTTGTGGATAGAGTCAAATCATGTGCCAAGCACAAGAAACTACATACAGAGCTTTCACTCCTGCATAAGTAAATATATATTTAGATTTGCAACAGTCATTGTCCTTTTCACTGCCTTATTTGCCTGTTTGAGCAGGTATGCAAACATGTTTCCCTGCGGTTATTGTCAACACATAAAATAGAAGCACTTTGTGGATTCTGCTTTGAGGTCATAGTTTTCCCAGGGAGTCTGTTCCCATGAATGTGTTGAAACTAAATTTCTGGATCTCTGTGCTTTGCCAAGACAAGCTTTATCTTCAGCTGGAATTAAGCCATTGCTTATATATCAGAAAAAAATCGAAGTGCCCTGTAATTTGAATGTACTTAATCTTTTGTGGGTGCTCTGAAATCCTGGTAGTGTTTAACGGTTTATCTTTTTACTTGGGATTGGCCTCTTGCCAATTTAATTTTGTTTCTGAATGAACAGCTTATATACGTGACTAGACATGTATAAAGTGTCCTGAAATGCCTAGAGATGGAGGAAGCGCACTAGCTAGAATTCACATGATTGCTTTTGCCAGCAGCACATCATCCAATGCTTATTTGTTGCAGGTTGTTGGCGTTCCAGTTGGTTCTGCTTTACAGTCAACAGTGAAACAAGCGGTGGCTATCAGTGGTGGCCAGATACTTGTGGCAAAATCTAGCTCTTCGGTAGCAAAGGCTGTTGGTCCAAAGCAGGTTGTGACGCAAGGTGTAGCCAAAGCGATCGTGAGTGGAGGCGGAGGGACAATTGTTGCTCAGCCCGTGCAGACTATAACAAAGGCGCAAGTTTCTTCCACAGGTGCTCAGAAAAGTACATCTCAAGGCTCAGGTAGAGTAATTTTACACGTTGTTAATAGCTCACGATGAAGGTTTCTAATGATTTCTTCAACTGCAAAATAACTGTGATTGAAAAATGAGTAGAGAAGTCTGTAGGG